TTAAATCATATACCTTGGTACATCAAAACACTAGTAAGGGGTTAAGCACTGACTCATTTAACGTTGATCCGTACTATCTTGTATTTAAATGATAATTAGGAAAAATGAAAACTTATGGTATCCGACTAGTTTCGACATTTTTTTTAATATTAATATAAAATTTATGAAAAAAAAACTAGCTTATTTGCTTTATTATGTGCAAAAACTTATATAACTAGCAAAAAAATATTATTATTTTATTTTTGTTTTATAACTGTCAAAAATTGTCTAATACTTACTAAAAATATATGTTAGATTATCGATATTATATTTGAACTGATATACATCCAAAAAAAGTAGTTCATATTCAAAAAATTATCAAGAATTGATTTTTTAAATTAAGGAAATTTAAATGATGAATATATGTTTCTTTTAGATCTAAATAACTGCAAGTTTGAAACGTTATTGTTTGGAAGTGAGCTGTGCTACCATTAATCTATTACTTTACCAATTTTTACCGTTTTCCAAAGGATAATGGTGCTGCATGCTGTATTTCATTACCATAAATTATGCTACAAATAAATTTTTTACTTATTTTGAACTAAATTTATTCAAAATAATTAAAAAGTATGAAAAATACGTTTAATAAAAATTCTGCGACAAAGAGTTAAAGGTGTCAAATTTATCCTCAAGATAAATTTGGCACCATTTTAATGTACGAGTAAATTTGAATAATATTTGAATTAGTGTAGCTCAACAAGCTTTAAAAAATTAACAGTTATCACAGTTTTAAAATCATAACATTTCAAAAGTAAAGATTTAAAATAAACAATATCTCTGTAGAATTTCTGAACCATCGATTTTTCATTTATATTTTATGTGACTAAAAATGTTATGTAATTAATTTGAGAATATGAGTAGGAGAGAAAATTTATGTCTCTTAATTGATCTGATCTTGTTTTCTATTTCTAAGCGAAAAAGAAATGTGTTATTGCAAAAAATACAAAAAAATTAGTTTTGATCTGAACAATGAGTAATGTAAATATTTTTTATCGAAAAAAATCACTAAAAAAAATTCTGGATAAAAAATGAATAGTCACAGCTAATTTAACCGTTGAAAGTGTTTTTTAAAAAAAAGTCAATGTAAAAAAAAGCGTTAAATATTAAATCTAAAACTTTTAAAAAAATTATTGAATTATGTAGTATCGTATTAAGACTAATTAATTTGGTTTCTTCAACTTAGCGTGACAAATAAAACTAATTTGTAATCAATACAATAAATATCTTAGCATTTTCAATTTAACTTGCAAAATAATACGATCGGAAACTGTGTTTTTGCAACAAAAGAAACTGAATAAATGAACCAATGAAATTGATCTATGAACTTGAATGATAAATCATTTTGATGTATTTTAGTTTAGTTCGTTGACATAGTGCCATAAGATTTGCATTCTTAAAATCGTTTAGGGTTGGTGTACCTTTCCGCTTTAACAAATATTATTAAATTTTAAAAACAAATACATAAAAATGATTTCAGGAAAAAAACAAGTAAATGTTTAAAATCAAAAATATTCTATTGTTCTCATTTGAGGTGAAAATAATATTAGTTATTATTTATTTTTTTAATTTCATATGCTTAGGATTTTGCTATTTGATGGAGCTAACAAATATTTCCAGTCGCTATCGAATTTTTAAAATATCTTTAACAGCACATAAGTGTCAGGATAACTCAAAAGACAATTGCTGGTTGTCCGTTGTCTTGGCGTGATTTTTCTTTAGTAACGGTTCTAATTTTTTTTATATTAATTTCCGCAATAACATTAAAATGGAATAAATCACACATAACTTTTTTTCAATAATTGAAATACTTTTCAATGTGCGAAAATTAGCAAGCGTAGTTCATTAAAGTATCGGAATAAAGGGTACAAATCGGTCAAATGCTATAGTGCCGAATAAATAAATAATATGAAAAAATACATGAGTACGTATAAAAATAAAGAGTTGTATTTAACTTACAAAAAATAACATCAGTAACAGAAATTTATTTTTTTTTTTAAAAAGTATCAGATTTTAACAAAGACATAGAAATATTTTATGGGCCATTAGGAAAAAAAAATCTCGATTTTCAAAAAGTATTCCGTTCTTCCGAAGTCGGCATCCCAGATTCTTCAATAAGTAAACATTAATCTTTAAAAACTAATAAATTCTACTTAATTTCTATGAGTTTTTCGAATTTTATTCAATTAATATGATATTTATATGAATAATTAGTATGATAATTTATTCTGTTGAATTTATATTTATTTGATAGAAAGTGATTACTATTCCAAGCTATAGTTCGCAAAATCGCTTAATTAATAAACACTAACATTTAAATTCTGTTAACGCTTTTACAGAAATTAATTAAACACATGGTTTTTGCGTTAAAGATGTCTCTCTAAGATATTTAAGTAACAAATAAAATTAAAAAAACTGATTCATCCTTACTCTTTAATATGTGGAATCTTACAACTATTTGTCCAGAAAGTACAAAAACACTAACTTTTTAAACTAAAACAGTCTGCGGTGTAATATACTCTATAACCTTACTTTGTAAGGAAATAAATATATTATTTAATAATAAAAAGTCTAAACGTAAAATTAGGAAATTAATTATGTAGAAAATTAGGAAAATTGAATTAGAATTTAAAAATGTACTTATAATATTGCTAAATATTAAAACTTATAAACATGAAATTTTAATTTGAAAGGGATAATTTTTTGTATGAGCTCTTAAATTAGTTTAAAAATTAAATTTGATTGATTGCTTTAATACAGTACTTTCGTGAAGATTTGTGAAATTTGGTTTTAGGTTAGGTATATCTCGTACACATTTTTTCATGTTAGAAGTGATATATGGGACTCCATTTCAGTTTGAAAAATACTTTTCTCTAAGAGGTAAATGATGAAATAAGACATAAAACAATATTATACGCTAATTTTATTGCAAATCAACTATCATTTTTTACTTGCTAATATTGAATTAACTAATTTTTTAAGCTATAATGTATGTATGATAAATAATCTTTTTTCCTTTCAATGAATTAAAAAATTTATAGGACAAGAAGTGAATGTATTTATAATAAATTTCATGAAAATGCTAAAATTACATATAATTAAACTACATATGCATACTTTTATTTTTCTCCGAAAATGGAAATGAAATTTTATGTAGTTTATATATTCTATTCATCTGAATGCATATGTAATTTAAGGAGCGTGATAATTAAATTGAACAAAGAGCAAATAGGAAATAATTCGATAGGGGATTTTATTTGCGATTTTCGCATGAAATTGTTCATTTGATTCATTTTATAAAATGGCCATATTATTTAAAATAAAACTCCTATGTATTTTGATTATTTTTTTCATTTTTCCTTACATGTTAATAATAATATAGAGATATAAACTGCTTACATTTTTACGGAAATGGTGTTGCGAAATATACGGAGGAAAAATTTAAATAAGTGAATATCGGTTTTCATCTTGCACGATGCATGTTATATATGCATTTTAAAATTAATTTTCTTTGAAGTAAAGCATGAACACACTTTAATTTCTATTTAAAAATTTTTTTTTTGCAGACTCGAACGAAATATTCGTAGAGAATATAAAATCCACATTAAAAAAATGAATTTTCAAATGTATTTTTTAAACTATGCTTAAAATGTTTATTTAAATTTTATTAAGGTTTTGTAACGCAGAGGCATATTATATCTGAACGCATATATTACAGCAGATCTAACAATGTGAAAGTGAGGGGAAGAGAAAACGTAAACAAATAAAAATCGTTTTCATGAGGCATTAACAAACAAATTAGAACGTATTATGAAAACATATTTAGATGATGTTTTGAAATTTAATGGCAATTTGCCATACTAAGACTATGAAAGAGTTGAATACGAATAAAAGAATTAATATTTCGATTAAAATTTGAATCATTTCTTGAGATACTTATGTTTCCTATTATTAAATTTAAATTATATATTATAGTTTACATTTAGTTTGCGTGCAACCATATATAACGGATCTCATTATTTATTCGATTAGTTTTTGTTCGTTTCGATATTGGATAAGTTTCTCATGCCCATGACTTGATAAATAATCTCAAAATAATGACGATATTTTCAAGTTATAATAGGATGCAAGAAACTTAATGAATTCTCTGTTGGACTTTCGTGTCTTAATTTGTCTAACATCTTTTGACTTTTATTTCACATTTATTTTATTATCCTTAACTTTTAACTGTTCTCGTTTATTAATCACGTATTTTAATCGTTGTGCAGTCTTATTGTTCATGTATTCATATTACTCATATTCTCGCTCTTGTATATATTGCGTCCACTATATGGATTGATTTGTATTAAAGCCATATGCTAGAAAAAAGTTTTGAAACATTTAACATTGTGATAGGCTTATAGGAAAAGATATTACCTGAAGTAAAAATATTTAAAACATTTTGTTATGGCGTTACTTGGAAAAACAAAAAATAAACATTATTTTTTCTACATTTTATATTGCCCTAATAATTTAAAATGAAAACACTTTACATAGATGCATGTTTTTAAACATTTGTTTGGATATAATTATTAAATAAATCTTACTTCTATAGCAGCTGATTCCACTGGAGTGTCGCAACATTAGCAGTTGGATTGTCCATTTATGGGATATCCCAAACATTCGAATCACATCCACAGAATTTAAAATGCTTCAAATATCCAACATGAGAAGTATTTTAGCCAATTGAAATTTCTTGGCGGAAATTCAACTCAGTAAGACTTCGCGCTTAATTGGGCTCACGGAGTTAATTCTCCGCTGTTGTTATCCGCAAGTAGGCCAGCCACAACAACAGAAAACACCTGGTATATTCCAACACTTTCTTTCAGAATATTTTTCAATAATGGGACAAATATCGATGGATAAACTGCTGATGTTGGGACACACCATCAGAATCTGCCATGGGAAGAGCTATGGGAACTTACCCATCTCACGGACGGCATGGGCAAAGTTTGTGTTTAGTTCTCTGACTGGTGGGACGAGATGTGCGAAAGTTCGTGGCACTTTTGGTTAGCGGGACATACACAACCACCAGCAACACCTGACGTTCTTAAAGTGAACAAGTTTCTGGAGAAGGTAGACTTTCTTCTTACCTGGCGGGTTCTGCGTCACTGGTTCACGTGACCAAAACTACATGACCGTTGATTGGTCAGAAGGATACCCCATCACATTGCATTGTAGGGATTTTGGATGAGTGTGATGATGTGTGTTGGCGGGCTCTTTTAAGAGATGAAGATCCCTAAAGTGGAAAAGAAAGATCAACGACTGGTGATTCAGCGAACTTGATGCAGAGGATTTCTCGGATTGAGATGCGTACGTGTATGGGGGCGAAAGACAGTTACGTAACATGGGGTTACATTTCAAAACGCTGATATCCATTAAATTTATTCATCTCATGAGAAGCACTATATATAGTGAATGACATTCATATTTTCAGGCTTAAATTTTAGTTTTCAATTGAGTTAAATTTCAGGGCAAAATGAATGTGAGTTATATCCAAAACTACTTTGTCTTTTAGTTTCAGGGGAAAAAAAGAAATAAAAACATTAACGCTTCACAAATATTTCCTTAGAACAGTTTCTTTGTTTTTTTAGATTCAATATTCCTTCTTTAGTTCAATATTTCCTTGAAAAGTAAAAAAAGCACTTTTTTTGCTTTCCTAAAGCATTCTAACATTTCTAATCGTTAAAACATTTCCTTTACATTACTATAACATATTTTTGAAACAATTAGGAGATACATTATAAGAAATTTTCAGTTCCAGCATATAAAAACGGAAATATTTCTTAAAAAAATATTAAAAAAGTTATTGCAGTTTTATTTCATTTACTTTAAACAGTCAAAACGCTTGCAATCATTTTTAAATCATTTCAATCATTTTGCAATCATTTACATAACTATAACATATTTTTGCATCATATATGACAAGTTCCTGAAACACTTCAGACTTTGAAAACGGATGTTTTACGATTAAGATCTGCAGTAAATAAAATTAAAACTTAGTGAATAAAATTATAACACCCTAAGGAAACTGAAGTTAATACATCAAAAATGTGATGTTTCAATAAAATTTCAAGTAAACAGTCAATCACTTCTAAGATGCTTCCTTTGTTCCAATCATTACAAAGAAACATTTTGAAAACCTAAATGAAATGTATATTTAACTTAAAATGTATAGATCATAAAATATTTAATTAATTAATATCATAATATTTACTAAAATATTTATTAAAATTTTTTTACAGATAAGTATTTAAACACTTAAAGCATAAACTAAGATAAAATTATTTTAAAAACTCCAAATAAATTTTAAACAGTTATGTGCATTATTAAAAATTGTATGCGTAATTACGTATTGTCTTATATATACTGTATATTGAAGTACCATACATGTAAATACAAACTAACCCTTCAGTGCATTCGTCTTCATTAGGTAATTACTTGAACTACGGTCCTGATATACCTCAGTGGTCTTTCCTTCTTTTTTAACAGCATACGTAGTCTATAACACCACATGATCATCTAATAAAGAGAGCACATAACAGAGAGCACGTTACGCAGTATCGTTGATTCTGCTTTCTGAGCTTTTCAATTCCATCATTTCATGCATTCATTCACAGTTTCATTCATTTATCTATGTATTCACTGCTTAAAAATAAAAATAAAATGTCTGTATGAAAACAGTGTGTACAAAAAATGTACTATTTCATCCTAAAAAATTCATGAAAAAAAAATGGAATTCATAATTCTGTGATTTATCTATGTGATTTATCTTTTCAAATAAATTTACTTGTAAAAATAGTATTTTAAAAGTTAAAATATTAAAAAATTGTGTTCTATGAATTCACCTAACTAGTCATATTAAGTTAAGGTCACAAAGCATAATATGTTTATTAAATTGGATTGAAAATTTAGAAAACGAGAATTTAAGTTTATTCTTTAAAACATTAGAAGTGTAAAATATAGATTAAAAAATATTTTTTTTTAGTGAACGAAACTGATATTTAAAAATAAGGACTAAAATTCAAATCAGTAAACAAAACTGCATTAATAACAAATTTAAAATTACATTTGTTGAGCAAAAATTCATATGAACACAAAAAGCTTTGAAATGTATTTAAATTTGAATTTAAAGAATTAGTATTACTGCTTTGACAGATAGAGGTGTAGTAGCATTAACAAGATTTCATGCTATCGCTTACACGAAAATATATGTTATAATTATATTAGAAAATATACTTTAAATGATATAACGCTCTGTTTTCTGTATTACAATAGTTAGATATTTAATTCATATAGATCTTACAAAATTATGAAACTATTGAAACTTGTTACTGAATATTATGAAACTTTCAACGTATGAAAGTCAAATTTTTTTTAACCAATATTTTGCGATTCTGTAACGCAATATAATAATGATTAATGCATTCACGTATAATTTTAAATCCTGTGTTTTTTTATACACACTGTTTTCATACAAACATTTTATTTTTATTTTTAAACAGTGAGTACATAGATAAATGAATGAAACTGTGAATGAATGCATGAAAATGTAGAATTGAAAAGATCAGAAAGCAGAGCTATACTACGTCATAAGCAAATGACATTCATTACGTGCTCTCTGTTATATGGTCTCTTTATTAGATGATCATATGGTGTTAAAAATTTTCTTCAAAAAAAGGTTAAATAACAATTTATTTAATTGTTATTTTACCATATTCAAGCAAAACAGTAAAATGACCATAAATAAGATAGTATTCAAACTGTTCACTGTGAGAAAAACCGTTTATTAACTGCTTTCACCTAATACCATTTAACAACCCAAATTTTATCGCTCTAACTAGGCCCACCTAATGAAGCCACTTATTTAATGAAGCAGCTGGGTAGATATTATGGTCGAGATGGCTTTTCTGTCAATCTCATGACAGACAGAATGGGGGTTCGAGTCCTGGCGTTGTCACCACAATATTTCCTCTATTCCCTTAAACACATGTATTATTTCCATTGTCCAGCACTCCCCAATTTATGACTCTGGACTATTAGAATACGATAATCTCATTCACGCACAGATTGCAGCACTATAAAGCTCCAATGTCCAGTTGAATTTCTCCGTAAGAATTTGAAACCATGCTGGTTGTAAGTGGTAAAAAAACCATATAGTTCTGTATTCACGGTTTTTTAACCATACTATGTTCTTTATCGGAACCCTTACGGTTAATTGGATGGACAGATTGCTGCTAGGTATTTATTGTAAATTTAGAATAAAAATTCTAACAGTGTTCACTCAATTCATAATTTTTTTTTCTCGAAAATTTTTGATAAAATAAATACAATGTTTATCAGATTAAATACATTTAAATAGTTGCGCACAATATTTATTTAAAGTAAATGAATCAACATTTTTAAAAATAGAGCATATCTATATGTATTTATATAAAATACATTTAAATATTTACTTATAATAATTATTAATAATATTTCAAACAAATGAATCAACATTCTTAAAAATAGTACATATTCTTAATATTTTTACCAATAATACATAGATTTTTTACCTATGAATATGTATATATAATATTTAAAATAAATCAATCATATTTTTGAAATTGGTCATATTTATTGGTATTTACATATAATATACATAATTATATATTTATGCATAATATTAAAAATAAATGAATCAACATTTTAATAAAATATTATGCGTATTTTTTATACAATTCGTTACAATCTATGCATACAACATTTATAATAAATGAGTCAAGATTTTTAAGAAATAGAACATTTCTATAATACTTTTAAATACACAGTAAAAAAATCCAGATTGAATTACGGTAAAAAGTACTGGCACTCAGAGTGACAATACTTTTTATGGCGAAACCCATTTTTACGGTAAAACTCTGTGGAACTAAATATTTGATATATTACAATTTTTATAGTAATATTTACTGTAAAATCACTGAATAATTGTAGTTAAAAAATATTTTTCAAAAAATTGCAGCATAAAATTTTACAGTAAAAATGGTTTTCACAGTAAAAAAGGATTCTATGAATATTTCATTCATACGAGGAAAGAATTCTGTGAAAATTATCGTGTTGTATGGTAATGAAATTTCTAATAAAGTTCTCATAATGAATTTCATGTCATGTTCTACGGAATCAAGATAAAATTACCAAATTTTACCACATTTTATAAATTATATCACCTATTATAAGTCTATATTTTATTATTAATTTTACCAAAATTATTACCAAATCCCTTCAATAAAAATTACCGAGTTCTTTGGAGTTCAAATAGAGCTAGAAACACAGTAAATTTTACCATATTGCAGTTGCAATTTTGACTCTATTTCTTTTATTTCAGAGCAGAGTACCATTACTTTCATACCGCAATTTAATCAGGAGTGTTTTACAGCGTAGTTAAGTTTACATTATTTAAAATAAATGAATTAACATTTAGAAAATAAAACGTATCCATACTTGTTCAGTTTTTGAAAAAAACTAAAAAGAACTTTTTCAATTTTCTGGTTGGTTAGTCAGTCCGAGTTGGATTAAAAATATAAAAATTTAAATTAATATCTCTAGTTCGTATTGATGGCATTTTATAATTTTTAATTGAACTCATTGAAATCAAATTTATACAAGCTCTTTAGAAGATTTGTGACACATAGCAACGTATGCAAGTGTTATTCACTATTTTATAATGCAAATATATTAACATTTGTAATAATATTGTTGCTATTTAACTATTAACTGCATTATTGCATGTTTTTTCTCCAAATGACTTAATATTTATTAACACATATTTAAGCAAAATAATAATAGTAATAAATTAATTTCAGTCGACGAAAAAGACGTAAGAATTTTTAAAAAAATAGTTGCGTTTAGTGCCAAATAAATCTTTGTTTTTACCATATATAATTAGATATTAACGAAGTCTCTATTGTCATACGGTAGGTGTGTAACGATATGAAGCAATTTTAAGCCAATAATTTAAACATATTGTTCATTTTACGCAACTCATTACCGCCATAAGTGGAGGGGGAATTCTGTTT